AATCTTGTCCTACCCTTAGGGCCCATGGGTCCCCTGGGTCCTTCTCCTCCATTCTGTCCGGGCATCCCAGGTTCTCCAGGGGGCCCAGGGCGTCCAGAGCTGCCATCTTTACCCGGAGGGCCCGGAGGTCCGGGGCGGCCCGCTGTGCTTTTCACATGTGCTGGCTGAATCTGAGCCACGAGATAAGCTAATTTGGCTGGAAGCAGAAAGAAAGGTTAGCATAATATATCTAACAAGGTTATTCTCATTGAACCCAAATGAACAAATATCTCAAAGGGTACCAGAAGAACGCCTCACCATCCAGCTGTTTTGCCAGCTCCTCCTGGATGAGCCGCCTCATCTGTTCCAGTGACACTGACTCTCCCTGGAGAAGCAGAGATGCTAATGAAAAATTCTCATCTGATGGTGCTGTGCATACTGCTGTAGTGCCGATATTGTTTCAGAGTCTATTTCAGCTGGGTTTATGACTCACCCTGGGCCCTGGAAGGCCAGGGTTTCCTGAAGGTCCTTGTGGCCCTGGGGCTCCGATTTCTCCTTGTGGTCCTGACATACCCATCATCCCCGTGTGACCCTTCCTGCCAGGGGGACCAGGGTTTCCCGGCATTCCTGGCTCTCCTGACTGCCCTTTATCTCCCTTTGTACCTGGATCTCCCTGGAACAGATGTCACTATGTTTGTAAATGTTTAGCCTCGAAGAACATGATCCCAAAGTAACCAGCAAGGCAGCTGGGCAAAAGTTAGTGTTTTTAAGATGGTTGACATTATAAATGAACTGTGCATATTTAAAAAAACAAAAGTACCCAAAACTAATTCAGATTTGTCTGATCTCTCCGTTAAGATCACTTCCTCACACGATCAGTGCTGTTTTTAGTGTAGCTGTTACTTTTAGATTCTGACCACTCACTTCACTGAGAACGATCTTCTGTTACAAACTGAATCAATCTTTGTGTCCAAGGCACATCAAAAGCAGGACAAAATAATAAAACACACTTCTATTCATATCTGCACATAAGAGCTCAAATGCCACTTCACACGTTATTGGTGGTTTTGATCTAACAGCATGTAGACCTACGCCCCTTAAACTTGAAGCAGTCAAACATATTCCTGGATGGAGTAGAGCTTGAATTAGCTCCAGAATTTAAATATCTTGGGGTCATTCTAGACCCAACATTATCCTTCAAGAGTCACATAAATAAAGTGTCCCAGATACTTAAATTTAATAATCGAAAGTTTAATCATATACGTAATAATTTAATTATTAATAATTAATAATTATTTAATTATGAATGTTGCAAAAACTTATTTTTACTCAATGATCATCTCTCATATGGACTA